GAGGTGTAGTTTGACATAAAAGTTCTCTACAAGGGAAATACCTTTTCTGATCTTGAAGGGAAGTGTTAAAAGTTGATACAAATTTTATCCAGCTTAATGCTGCTGTTTGGGAAAACTGGTTCTGGAGCAGCAGAAATGGAATCTAGAACTACAGGAACAGAAGATTCTTTCTCTTACCCATCTTTCAAAAGCAAATTAACAAATTAAACCAAAAAAAATGACCCTAGGAAGAGGTTAGTGTAGTAGTAGTTACTCCCACTTCCAGCTTCATACTAGGAGACATAGTATGTTTCCTTACTTCCATACTTTCAACTAGGAGACAAGAAGCAGCATTGTGCATTCCTTCTTCCAATTGAGTGTAGGAGTGAGAGGTATTTTAAATCTGGAGTTTATGTAGAAGTCAAATCATAGAATTATGGAGTGGTTTGCATTGGAAGGGACCTTTAAAGGTTATCTAGTACAACCCCCCTGCAATGAGCAGGGAAATCTTCACTACATCAGGTTGCTTAGAGCCCTGTCCAACCTGACCTTGAATGTTTCCAGGGATGCAGCATCTACCACCTCTCTAGGCAACCTGTTGCAGTGTTTCACCATCCTCATTGTAAAATAATCTCTTTCTTCTATCTAGTCGAAATTTACCCTTCTCTGGTTTAAAACCATTACCCCTTGTTCGATTGCAGCAGCCCTTGCTAAAAAGTCTGTCCCCATCTTTCTTACAAGCTCCCTTTAAGTACTGAAAGGCTGCAGTAAGGTCTTCCTGGAACCTTCTCTAGGCTGAACAACCCCAGCTCCCTCAGCCTTTCTTCATAGTGGAGGTGTTCCTGCTCCCTGATCATCTTTCTGGCCCTCCTCTGGACTCGCTCCAACAGGTCCATGTCTTTCTTGTGCTGAGGACTCCAGAGCTGGACACAGCACTGCAGGTGGGGTCTCACCAGAGCAGAGCAGAGGGGCAGAATCACCTCCCTCAACCTGCTGGCCACACTTCTTGTGATGTGGTCCAGGGTATGGTTGGCCTTCTGGGCTGTGAATGCACATTGTTGGCTCATGTCCAGCTTTTCATACAGCATTAACCACAAGTCCTTGGCAGGGCTGCTTTAAAGCCCTTCATCTCAAAGCCTGTATTGATACTGGGGACTGCCCCAGCTGCAGCACAGGACCCTGCACTTGGCCTTATTGAATCTTAGGAGGTTCACATGGGCCTACTTCTTGAGCTTGTCCAGGTCCCTCTGGATAACATCCTATCCCTCAGGCATGTCAACTGCACCACTCAGCTTGGTGTCTTCTGCAAACTTGCTGAGGGTGCATTTGATTCCACTGTCCATGTCATTGATAAAGATATTAAACAGTACTGGTCCCAGTATGGACCCCTGAGGGACACCACTTGTCACTGATCTCCATCCAGATATTGAGACGTTGACCACTACTTTGTGGATGCAACCATCCAGCCAATTCCATATCCATCAAAAGGCCGCTCCATCAAATCCGTATCTCTCCAGTTTAGAGAGAATGATGTTGTGGGAGGACTGTGTCAAAAGTCCTTACAGAAGTCCAGGTAGATGACATATGTAGCTCTTCCCTTGTCCACTGGTAGTCACTCCACTAGGTTGGTCAGGCAGGACTTGCCCTTGGTGAAGCCATGCTGGCTGTCTCGAATCGCCTCTCTGTCCTCCATGTGTCATAGTATAGCTTCTAGGAGGATCTGTTCCATGATCTTCCCAGGTACAGAGGTGAGGCTGACAGGTCAGTAGTTCCCAGGGTCCTCCTTTCTACTCTTTCTAAAAATGGGTGCAGTGTTTCCCTTGTTCCAGTCACCAGGGACTTCACCTGACTACCATGACTTTTCAAATATCATGGAAAGTGATTTGGCAACTACATCAGCCAGTTCCCTCAGGACTCGAGGATGCATCTCAGCAGGTCCCATAGACTTAAGTAGGTTCAGGTTCCTCAGGTGGTCACAAACCTAATCTTTTACAGTGAGAGAGCCTTTGCTCCCCCAGTCCTAGTCTGGTGGTCCATCCACTCCAGAGGGGTGGGAAGAGAAGTTGCCAGTGAAGACTGAGGCAAAAAAGTTAAGTACCTTAGCCTTGCCTTCATCTGTTGTTACCTGTTTGCCAGTTGTGTTCATCAGGGCAGGTACGCTTTCTCTGAGCTTCCTTTTCTGGCTGACATACCTGTAGAAGCCCTTATTATTCTTCATGTCCCTTGCCAAGGTCAGCTCCTGCTGTGCCTTGGCCTTCCTGACCCAATCCCTGCAAAACCAGTCAGCATCCCTCTACTCTTCCCAGGATACCTGTCCCTGCTTCCACTGCCCATGTGTTTCTTTTTTGCCCTTTAGTCTGTCCAGCAGGTCTCAACTCAACCATGCTGGTCTCTTGCTGTCTTTTCCTGATTTTTTTACAGCTGGGGATTGAGAGCTCTTGTGTTCTATGGGAAACATCTTTAAAGATCTGCCAGCTCTGTTCTGCTCCCTTGTCCCTGAGGGCAGTTTCCCAGGGAGTCCTATTGACTAACTCCTTGAAGAGCTGCAAGTTTGCTTTCCAGTCAGGGTCCTGACTTCACTCTTTGCCTGACCCATACCTCTCAGGACCATGAACTCCACCAGTGTGTGGTCACTGCAGCCCAGGCTGCCTTCAGTCTTGACATGAGCTCACTTGTGTTGGTGACCATCAGCTCCAGTATTGATCTGGTAGGGCTGTCTATTACCTGGCTGAAGAAGTTATTCTCAGTACATTCTGGGAGTCTCCTGGATTGCCTACAGCTCACCGTGCTGCTTTTCCAGCAGATGTTTGTGTGGTTGAAATCCACCAGTGAAATGAGGAAGCCTGTGAGTGCAGTGCCCCCTGTGGCTGGAGTAGTGAGGCTTTGTCAATAGGCTCCCCTTGATTAGGGGATGCATATATAGCAAACACCCACCATAAGGTTCCCTTTGTTGCATCAGTCTCTAATTCTTACCCATAAGCTTTCAACCTGCTCATGGCTATTCTTCAGACAGCTTTTGACACTCTCCCTTTTTTGATGCAGAAGGCAGTGCCTCCACCCCTCCACTGCCTGTCCCTTCTGAACAGCCTGTACCCATCAATAGCCATACTCCAGTCATGGGGATTCGTCCCACCAAGTTTCTGTAATGGTAACTAGATCGTAGCTTTCTAGCAGCACGGTGGCTTCCAACTCCTGTTTGTTGCCCATGCTGCATGCACTGGTGTAGAGGCACTTCGGCTGGGCTGTCAGCTGTGTCACCTTTGTAGAGGAACACCCCTTAATTCCTTTGGGGTGTTTCACCCTTGTTTTTCTGTTGGCTCCTATTGCCTCAGGAGCCCCTGGTTCATCTCTGTAAGACTTTAAGTCTGCTGCAGTGTGCCCAGCACGTCTCAGAGCAACAGGCTGAGGGCCCTCGCTAGCACCCTGTCCCTCTAACCTTAGCGTGTTGTCCCACAGCTTGCCATGGGCAAGCCTGATATTATCCCTCTCCCTGTTCAAGTCTATTTTAAAGATCTGTCAGTGAGCCTCGCTAGCTTGTGAACAAAGACCCTCTTCCCCCTTCGAGAAAGGTGAATCCCACCCGATGCCAGCAGGCCTGATGCTGTGTAGACCATCCCATTACTGAAAAACCCAAAACTCTGGCAGTGACACCATCCATGGAGCCATGTATATATAGTTAGAATCTCTCTGTCTCTTCCAATATCGCTGCCTGCAACTGGAAGGATAGAGGAAAAAAATGACACGTGCTCCACATTTCCTTGCCAACCATCCCAAGGCCCTGAAGTGTATTTTGATTGCCCTTGGAAATGTAAGAGTGTCCCAGCTCACTCTGTTTTCTCCTCACCTGTGGTTCTGGGAAAGCGTGCTAAGCCTGGTGATTATTATTTCTTTGTCTGATGTCACTTAGTGTGGTAATTACTGCACAAATACTGGAGCAGTGTGATCCCTGAACTTCCTGGAATCTCAGTGATGTCTGTAGTTTCACTTCCCATGATGGACTGTTTTTTTTTTGGTGTAGTCTTGTGTATTTTTAACTCCTATATAAGAATATGTGCAAGACTTCTTTATTTTAGACTATGTATGTTTAGCTGGAAACTAAAAGAAAAGAGCACTTTTTTTTCAAGTGTTATAAAAGGTTATGTTGTCTAAACCTTCCAGTGAGACTTGCATTTTAGCTGAAATGAAACACAGTGCAGTATAGGGGAAAACTCTATTCTTGATATGAAGTGAGGGTGGAAAATAAAAGGTATACCAGTGAGAAACTCAAGATTTTTATGCATCTTCAACAGTGAGAACATGTTTCTAAGGATGTTCACGTAAACTTTATGTAATGTTAATCATCTGTACAGGTATTTTATTATCTGTTTTAAAAAAAAAATTGTAAACCGGAGGACCATTCCCCACCTACACTCCAGTTTCTCATAGCTCCAAAAGGACAAAGCATATAACATTTTCTAAGATGACATACATGAATATGTTGGGTGGTAGGAGTACAGAAAATGATGCAGTTTAAATTAAATTAAAAGCTGTCAGCGTGTAGCACTTCACATCTGTTGCCTTCTATGAGTAGATTGCAGAGAAAATCAGATGTACAGCTTAGACTGGTGTAGCCTGCATTACTGATGATACATTCTAAGGATGGCAAATGATGGAGTTAATACGTTCATAAGAAATTAATTCATGTTATACTCTCTGAAAAAAACTGAAGTTGAAGCTCAGCAGAACAGTTAACGTAGACCCCAGTAGACAGAAGCAGTATATGTAGTGTCTTGCTGTACTTTACCTAAAGATGTGTCGTAAATTTGCTCAGTTCTTTGCAGTCATCATGGATGAATCCCTGACTTTGAGTTTATGACTTTTTCTTTTAAATTCCTTCTTGTGTTGTTATCCTCACTGAACAGGCGTGGCATTTTCAAGATGCCTGTTCAGAGGATTCTTTGATATATTCAGTTTTTGCTGTAAGTTTAATAAGTTAATTTCAATATTAAGCTGCATCAGCTTGTTTGTTTATTTTACTGCAGAATCTGCCAGAGAATTTCAGTGATTGCAAACTGAAAAAGAAGGGGTTGGTGAAAAGAGTTCAGGTAAGGGCTTTTGGTGTTTTTTTTGTTTTGATTAATGATGGCCACTTGTATACCAAGAGTTTGTGAAAATGAGACCTGGTTAGAGCTTAGATTTTTTGAGTGTTTGTTCTTACATTGATATTTTTTATGACCTCCCTTTGAGAGGTATTTAATAGCTTTATAAAACAGCATATAGAAATGCAGTAGTTCATGCTGTTTTCAGGTAATGTTTATAGTTTGCATTAGTGGTTGGCCTTATGGCTGCCCAATGATGTAAAGTAATTCTGATAACTTGTAAAGAAAAGAGGATAATTCCTCCTTTTCTATATCTTATTGGGCCAGAGTAATGCAGGAGATCTGGGCACAAGGGTGCAGTCAGCTGTTAACTTCTGCTGAACCTTGCTAGAGGTGTTCTTCAGAAAATTTAGCTTCTATTGCAATGCACTTTCTATGGAGAGTAAGTCTCTAAAGTAGAATCTCCACAGAAGAGCAACTGTGCTGGGGGGTGGGGTTTTTAATTGTTTTGCTACTGTGTAATGCTTATAAATTCCTAGACAATATTTCCTTAGAGACCTTGAACTGAAGGTTTGTTTTAGATTTGTTTGTCACACCCACCCTTGGCTACAGAAGTATGTGTTTTAGAAAGGAGTTTAAAAGTCATGTTTCAAACTGAATCACTACTTTTCTGAACCTTTATGATCCTTATTGTTGTTTATGAACTTTAGATCAACTCAGAGTACTTCAGGGGCACGACTGGTGAGAGTGGGCAGTTACATTACTGCCTTATGAAGTATCATGTTTCTGTTGGCTTCTGGGTAAACAAAATCATGAATAAGATGTTACCAAAACTGAACTGGAAGGTGGTTGTTGAGTTGGCTTCCTCAGATTCATGATAGAAACTGCAGTTTCTGTTCTTAAGCATCTACCACTGCTACAATTGCATACCCAATGACATTTGTTTGTTTCTTATTCTCAGGTTTTTCTTGCCCAGTGTGATACCATTGAAGGAAATATTGGTCAAGAAATGGACAAGCTACAGTCAAAGAATTTGGCACTGGCAGAATGAGGCATTGCCCTATAATTAGGAAACTTAATTGCTCTATGAGCAAGAAGAAAAGTTTGCTCTTTGTTTTGGAGCACGTATTCAGCTTTTTTTTTTTTTTAAAGCCCAGTCTGTTAGACTGGTACTAGTCAATCATTTCTTGCTGGTTGTCCTGTTTGCCGCTTGGTTAGACCTATTATTTTGAAGAGAAAATCCTTCCTGAAGAATGGCAGAAATAATCTTTGTGATGAATTGCTATGTATCTTATGGACAAATGTTTAGTTAACTAAGTTATAAAGTTTGCAGTGATGGGCAATTTTGTCCAATATGTCTTTGAATTTATTTACAGCTCAAATCAAAGAAGGTCTATAATTGTACAAGTGCCATAAGTTGCAATTGTAGGACTTCAGCTTGATTGAAAAAGGCAAACTGAGACGACATCTGGGAAAGTTGAACATTCTAATAGACAGTTCAGAGCAATAAAAAAAAACAAACCCTACGCATTTGTATCTACTTAATGTTTGTATGCATTTATAAATATAAGAAAGCTTGACTATAAGGGAGTGGTACCTATTTTAGCCTTAAATTGTCATAATAAATGGAATGTACTGTAACATGTATGGTACTTAATTTTGGGTGGTGCTTTAAGTTGTTACTGAGCTCCTTGATACAGATGTATGTTTTTTACATAGATTTCTGATGTAGTTTTTATAGATTATTCTTATTTTTATTGTTTGTGTACCATCTTGAGTTATGGTGGGAAATGAAATGCGATTACTCATGCTGCTCATATACCAAGGGTTCAGTTCAAGCAAGGTATAACTAAGGAACTATTTGTAAGGGTTTTTTTAAACTTTTTTTCGATTTCACCGAACTCATGATGCTATATTTAATGGAAAATTGCAGTGATTATTTCTAGTCTGTTAAGGTTATCCGTGAATTTTTATAACATGTTACAAAGTGATAGAACTTTATTTTAGCAATGCTGTGTGTCTGAGGGTTATGACTGATTCTTAGTCAGATACGTGCCATGCTTAGCCTTTTCTGGTGAAAAATAAGCTTCTGCAGGAAATAGTAACTGTCAGCAGGTACAGCTAACTTTGGTTTTTGGTCAGAGCCTGTAGCTAATGTACCTGTAGCGGGAGTTACTTTTTCACTGATACTTTCTCGACTTGCGGTCGGTAGGTCAGTCATAAATGCAGTGGCTGGCAAAGTAGTAACTGATAAGGAGCTTGTTTCAGTGTGTGTGTGTGTGTGTGTGTGTGTGTGTGTGTGTGAAGCTCTTTCATCTCAAATGAGTCAGACTGAGGATGTTTAGAAATGGCCCTTAGGTAGTGAGCCTTTATCCTTACATGTCTGTTTTAAGATTAGCTGTTCTTTCAAGATGAAAATAGGAAATGTGTGTAAAAAGGTGTTAACTTCTAATAAGTTATAAACCTTAAATAATACCTAAAGTATTATTATTATTAAAGTATTATCTTTGATGTTTGTAATTGGAGGAGCATTTCTTCAGTTAAAAATACTATTGGACAAATGAAGTGATAACCTTGCGTTAGAAAGGGTCACTTTTCTTCTAAAAATGCCTTTTGACCATACCATACCAAGATTGGACTTGCCATGTTTTTTACTGTTAAACAGTTTCTTCAAGGTTGTATTTTTTCCATATGTAACTCTTCTCAGCATCTGTGGAGGATTTTAAGGTCTAAACTCCTAGGAAGCTTGCCTATCATGTTAGGAAATGGTATGTTTGGTAGGACTGTGGATATTTTTTTCCTAGGCTACTGGTCTGGTCATGCTGCATTTTCTCAGCACTTTAAGGTTAGGAGTAAGAGTTGGTTGTAGCCATTTTTCCTAGCTTGGTGCTGCTTCTGGACCAGATCAGCTGACTCTTAAGTCACCAGCAACACTGTTGCCTAATTCAGGGAATGCAGAATTATCCACTTTCCTTTAATGGAAAGGATCCTCACCCTCTCAATTGTAAGTCCTCTAATGCGTTGAACTTTCACAGGTGCATGTATAATAAAAAAGTGCAAAGTATCCTCTTGTGCCCTTGAAAAGAACTGGGAGCTGCGATCATGGCTGACTGTGACTGTTTCTGCTGCTCCATTGTATTTTTCTCTCTTGGGTGAAAACACTAAGGCTATAGGCAGACATTGTCTTCCCAGCACTCCTTCCCAGAAACTGCTGCTGCTTGAGATGTGCTTGTTTGAGTACATCCTCAGCCTGGCTCAAAGCCAGGCGTATTAACTTTAAGATGTTCCATAGTAGATCTTTTGATAATCTGGTATTTTGAGGCAAAAAGAGTGATAATGAACCTCTCCTACCAGCACATCTGGATTCAGCAAAGGGTGGGTGTCCTGAGCTGAAGTTACCTTACAGTGGTAACTCCTGGTGTCAGAGTGTTTGGTTTCTAGGACAGAAGTATATGTATGAAGACAAACTTCTGCAGTATAAAAGTTTTTGTCTTCTAAATATAAAAATGAGTTGATTAATTTTGGAAAATGGATGGTTGTATTTAGAATTATCTAAGACCTAGAGTGGATTGACTTTTATACTTAGTTTTGAAAGAGGAGTCCTACACGTCATTTTGTCATAATAGCCTTAAATTTCAGTGAAAGCAACCTTCTGTGCTTTTGAAAAGTGCAGCAGACAGCAATTGTGAGAGGAAGGGGAAGGAAGAGGAGCTTTTAAATATTCTTCAGAATTTGTAAAGGTAAACATAGATCTCAATCAAGCTTAAGCTATATTCTCACTGATTCTGTAATCTCAGTGTACTGTGATACCTATTTTGCTACCGAATCACTTCCTTACCCCAACCACCTTCCCTGATCATGTCAAAAGAGAAGTTACTCCTTTTTGCCTTAGTTGCACTTACCCTGTTGTCTTCCAGTTGCTGTGTTGCTCTGGCTGTGTTTACACACCTCGGATGTGCCATCCGGGCAAAATGTCTTACCACAAAGTTTGTCTTCTATGAAAATGGAAATCAAATTACATGCTTCCATGCCCCGTTCTCTGCCCCAGCTCCTGTAGGCTGGCGTGAGACGAACCAAACCTGACGTTCAGGGAGCCGCAGAGTCTGGAGCTGTGGGACGGCTTGCTCTCTGGGAACAGCCTAAAATATGCTGCTTGTAGTGGCATCCTCTGTGACTAAGTCCGCCTGAAGGTAATACCGCTGTAAACCTGGTGTAATGCTTTTTTGACTTTTAACATGGTTTGGAGAGGAGTACTTGACGCCATGGAACTTGGGGCTAGATTATTTTTTTTTTTAGCTAACTTATTTTACTGTACTATCATAAAAGATAAAAATAAAATATGGAAAGTTCTCTGCTGTCTTTGGTCATGATTAGTGGTTACAAAATGCTGTAGATGGGTGTATTTTAGCAGGGAAATGCAGGCTGCTCGCTGTGTTGTAGCGTGCGCTGTGCGGGCAAGTTGGCAGCGTATGGGAACAGCAGATGGGTGTGCAAGGCCTCCGCAAAGGGTGTGGGGAATCAAAGCCTGGAATGTTGCTGTGACTGGCAACAAGCTGAAGCTTAACGAAAAGATGGGGGGGGGGGGGGGGG